ACACCCACGCTGTGCTGTAACCATTGTGGGCTAGGCCTGGGGTGGTGAGAGAACCCATGGCCAGACAATGTGAACCAAAGAAAAACAAGTATTATACACTGAACAAAAATATAAAATGCAACATGCAACAATTTCAAAGATTTTACTGAGTTACAGTTCATATGAGGAAATCAGTCAATTGAAATAAATTCAGTAGGACCTAATCTATGGATTTCACATGACTGGGAATACAGATATGCATTTGTTGGTCACAGATACCTTTTTAAAAAAGGTAGGGGCGTGGATCAGAAAATCAGTCCGTATCTGGTGTGACCACCATTTGCCTCATGCAGCACGACATCTCTTTCGAATAGAGTTGATCAGGCTGTTGATTGTGGAATGTTGTCCCACTCCTCTTCAATGGCTGTGCGAAGTTGCTCGATATTGGCAGGAACTGGAACATGCTGTGGTACGCGTCGATCCAGAGCATCTCAAACATGCTCATGGGCGACATGTCTTATGAGCCATTGAAGAACTGGGACATTTTCAGCTTCCAGGAACTGTGTACATATCCTTGCAACATGGGGACGTGCATTATCATGCTGAGACATGAGGTGATGACGGCGGATAAATGGCACAACAATGAGCCTCAGGATTTTGTCACGGTATCATAACCCAACTGCCACCATGGGGCACTCTGTTCATAATGTTGACATCAGCAAACTGCTGGCCCAATCAACGCCATACACGCTGTCTACCATCTGCCCGGTACAGTTGAAACCGGGATTATTCCGTGAAGAGCACACTTCTCCAGCGTGCCAGCGGCAAGGTGAGCATTTGCCCACTGAAGTCGGTTATGATGCCGAACTGCAGTCAGGTCAAGACCCTGGTGAGGATGACGAGCACACAGATGAGCTTCCCTGAGACGGTTTCTGACAGTTTGTGCAGAAATTCTTCAGTTTTGCAAACCCACAGTTTCATCAGCTGTCTGGGTGGCTGGTTTCAGAAGATCCTGCAGGTGAATAAGCCAGATGTGGAGGTCCTGGGCAGGTGTGGTTACATGTGGTCAGCGGTTGTGAGGCCAGTTTGACAAACTGCCAAATTCTCTAAAATGACGTTGGTAGAGAAAGTAACATTCAATTATCTGGCAACAGCTCTGGTGGACATTCCTGGAGTAATTGCACGCTCCCTCAAAACTTGAGATCTGTGGGATTGTGTTGTATGACAAAACTGCACATTTTAGAGTGGCCGTTTATTGTACCCAGCACAAGGTGCACCTGTGTAATGATCATGCTGTTTAATCAGCTTCTTGATATGCCACACCTGTCAGGTGGATGGATTATCTTGGCAAAGGAGAAATGCTCACTAACAGGGATGTAAACAAATTTTTGCACAAAATTTTAGAGAAATACGCTTTTTGTGGATCTAAATGTTTTTCCTCATAATCCTGGACAATCGGACCACCATCTTATTAGGTTTGCAATCGCATCAATTAATCTGCTCAGACCCCAACTAAGGATCATCAAAAGCCATGCTATAAATTCTCGGACAACCCAAAGATTCCTAGATGCCCTTCCAGACTCTCTCCACCTACCCAAGGACATCGGAGTACAAAAATCTGTTAACCACCTAACTGGGGATCTAAATTTAACCTTGCGTAATACCCTAGATGCAGTCGCACCCCTAAAAACAAAAAACATTTGTCACAAGAAATTTGCTCCCTGGTATACAGAAAATACCCGAGCCCAGAAGCAAGCTTCCAGAAAATTGGAACGGAAATGGCGCTCCACCAAATTGGAAGTGTTCCGACTAGCTTGGAAAGACAGTACCGTGCAATATCAAAAAGCCCTCACTGCTGCTCGATCATCCTATTTTTCCAACCTAATTGAGGAGAATAAGAACATTCCCCCAAACATTTTTGATACTGTCGCAAAGCTAACTAAAAAGCAGCATTCCCCAATAGAGGATGGCTTTCACTTCAGCAGTGATGAATTCATGAACTTTTTCGATGAAAAAATCATGATCATTAGAAAGCAAATTACGCACGCTTCTTGAATCTACGTATTTCTCCAAAACTCAGTTGTCATGAGTCTGCACAGAACTGCCAGGACCTAGGATCAATGGAGACATGTATCTCTTGACACATTCATGAAAATTGTCATGGCCTCTAAACCTTCAAGCTGCATACTGGACCCTATTCCAACTAAACTACTGAAAGAGCTACTTCCTGTAGTTGGCCCTCCTATGTTGAACATAATAAATGGCTCCCTATCCACCGGATGTGTACCAAACTCTTTAAAAGTGGCAGTAATAAAGCCTCTCTTGAAAAAGCCAAACCTTGACCCGGAAAATGTAAAAAACTATCGGCCTATATCGAATCTCCCATTCCTCTCAATTTTTTTGAAAAAGCTGTTGCGCAGCAACTCACTGCCTTCCTAATGATAAATTATGTATACGAAACGCTTCCATGGAAGCCTGTGTTTCAGACATAAGGAAGTGGATGGCGACAATTGTTTTTACTTTTAAACTCGGACAAAACAGAGATGCTAGTTCTAGTTCCCAAGAAACAAAGAGATCTGCTGTTGGATCTAACAATTAATCTGATGGTTGTACAGTCGTCTCAAATAAAACTGTGAAGGACCTCTGCGTTACTCTGGACCCTTATCTCTCTTTTGACAAACATATCAATAGTATTTCTAGGACAGCTTTTTTCCGTCTTCGTAACATTGCAAAAATCTGAAGCTTTTTGTCAAAAAATGATGCAGAAAAGCTTATCCATGCTTTTGTCACTTCTATAATAATAATAATAATAATATGCCATTTAGCAGACACTTTTATCCAAAGCGACTTACAGTCATGCGTGCATACATTTTTGTGTATGGGTGATCCCGGGGTTCGAACCCACTACCCTGGTGTTACAAGCGCCATGCTCTACCAGCTGAGCTACAGAGGACCACAGAGGACCGTGCTTCTAGATTAGACTACTGCAATGCTCTACTCTCCGGCTACCCGGATAAAGCACTAAATAAACTTCAGTTAGTGCTAAACACGGCTGCTAGAATCTTGACTAGAACCAAACAAATTGATCATATTACTCCAGTGCTAGCCTCTCTACACTGGCTTCCTGTTAAGGTTTTACTGCTAACCTTCAAAGCATTACATGGGCTTGCTCCTACCTATCTCTCAGATTTGGTCCTGCCGTACACGTACACTATGGTCACAAGACGCAAGCCTCCTTATTGTCCCTAGAATTTCTAAGCAAACAGCTGGAGGCAGGGCTTTCTCCTACAGAGCTCAATTTTATGGAATGGTCTGCTATCCATGTGAGAGATGCAGACTCGGTCTCAAACTTTAAGTCGTTACTGAAGACTCATCTCTTCAGTAGGTCCTATGATTGAGTGTAGTCTGGCCCAGAGGTGTGAAGGTGAACGGCAAGGCACTTACTAGTGCTCTTCCATGCCGTCCCTAGGAGGGGTGCGTCACTTGAGTGGGTTGAGTCACAGACGTGATCTTCCTGTCCGGTTTTGTGCCACCTCGGGCCTGTGCGGTGGAGGAGATCTTCGTGGGCTATACTCAGCCCTGTTTTAGGGTAGTAAGTTGGTGGTCTGTTGATATCCCTCTAGTGGTGTGGGAGTTGTGCTTTGTCAAAGTGGGTGGGGTTATATCCTGCCTGGTTGGCCCTGTCCTGGGGTATCGTCGGATGGGGCCACAGTGTCCCCCGACCCCCCCGTCTCAGCCTCCAGTATCTATGCTGCAATAGTCTATGTGCGGGGGTGCTAGGGTCAGTCTGTTATATCTGGTGTCCTGTGTGAATTTAAGTATGCTCTCTCGAATTCTCTCTCTCTCCCTCGCCTCCCGGAGGATCTGAGCCCTTGGACCATGCCTCAGGACTACCTGGCCTGATGACTCCTGGCTGTCCCCAGTCCACCTGGTCATGCTGCTGCTCCAGTTTCAACTGTTCTGCCTGCAGCTATGGAACCCTGACCTGTTCACTGGACTTGTTACCTTGTCCCGGACCTGCTGTTTTTGACTCTCTCTACCGCACCTTCTGTCTCGACCTCTGAATGACCCTGCTGGTCATCTATGAACATTTGAACATCTTGAAGAACAATCTGGCCTTAATGGTCATGTACTATCTCCACCCTGCACAGCCAGATGAGGACTGGACACCCCTCAGAGCCTGGTTTCTCTCAAGGTTTCTTCCTAGGTTCCTGCCTTTCTAGGGAGTTTTTCCTAGCCACCGTGCTTCTACATCTGCATTGCTTGCGGTTTGGGGTTTTAGGCTGGGATTCTGTATAGCACTTTGTGACATCTGCTGATGTAAAAAAGGGCTTTATAAATACATTAGATGTATTGTGTGTACGGACAATTTCAGCTCATGAAACATGGGGCCAACACATTTTTGTTCAGTATAGTTATACATTGATGAAGGCTCTGAAGTTGCATAACTGGCCTCCCGAGTGGCGCAGTGGTCTAAGACTCTGCATCGCAGTACTAGCTGTGCCACTAGAGATCCTGGTTCGAATCCAGGCTCTGTCGTAGCCGGCCGCGACCGGGAGACCCATGGGGTGGCGCACAATTGGTCCAGGGTAGGGGAGGGAATGGCCGGCAGGGATCTAGCTCAGTTGGTAGAGCATGGCGTTTACAACGCCAAGGTTGTGGGTTTGAATCCCAAGGGGGGCCAGTATGAATATATATAATAATGTATGCACTCACTAACTATAAGAGCGTCTGCTAAATGACTAAAATGTAATAAATCATGGATATGTAGTGAGGTCCAGTGCCTTTTGATTGAGTTTTTGCTGAAGCTATTGTTCTCCTTATAATGACAATAAATGCAAGTGCGAGAATGCTTTGTTCATTAAAATGATTTAAAAAAGCTACGTAGCAAACAGTAACACGTGCCTAAACTCATATTTAAAGAAAGTATTACTTAAAAATGTGGAATTAAGCCATACCCACCAATGGACTGTCGATAAGTGGAAATTCGGCTTTGTTCGGCATTTTCCGTCACTCGGCTCACTTCATGACAGCATTTGCGACCATTTTGCTGTGGTGGTTGTGTGTCTGAGTGGAGCTGAGGTCTAAAGAATAAATAGATACACGAAAATAAATCTCATTCGGCAATGGACGGGTATGTGTTCACGGTTGGATGTTGCTCTTAATTACATTCGCTAAAGGTTTTAATGTTGCATGGAAATATCTATTCAATAACGTTAGCAAGCTAGCTAGCTCACTGGGCCACGTTTGCCTTCGTTCTAGACATGGTGCCCGTCTGCCACCCATCTTGTTAGAATTACATTAGCTAGCTAATGCGGGTACAGTAGAATTTGACAGCGTGTGTTGATTGGTATAACTAGCTAGCTACCTAGGAGTTGTGATGACAACGCAAAAATTGAGTAGCGTCAATATTTCTACAATTTCGTTGAACTAAGCATTCACAATGTCGTGTTATTTTCAGTACAGTAGCTACTGCTGTAGTACCTAGCTGACCGTGCAGGCACCCCCTGCGCTTTGTTATGGTAGTATGTCAGGCTTCCTTTGTCTCTTCCGATCAGTTAGGTGGGCACTGTAGCTAGCTAGCGTTAACTGGCAAGGATACTCGAATATACTAACGTGGAATTTGCAATGCGCTTTTATATCCAACCTGTAAATACGATGAATACACATTTAGCTAAATATTATTGCAAGCCAACACTCACGCGCACTGGAAGCTGGTTTTAGCCTGAGTGGGTAACGTTAGCAAACCGGTAGGATAGTAGGCGTAGCTAACTTTATTTATTAATTGCAGATACCCTAGCTATACCTTTGGTTCCGTTAATTGTCCTTTTTCTTAGATAGTTGTTTGCGCTGCTATGTGTGCACAACTCACATTCATATTTTCCCTATTCAGCATTGCCACTGATGTTGCAGTTGGCGTGAAGGTAAATTTGCACTTTAGCACCTGACTTTTCAGGACACTTTCATCAATTGGCAAACGATGTACCAAGTAAATTCATGTATGCATTCTTATTTTACAGAGAGGCTCAGATGAATTAAATCTCTACAGCACCAGCCCTAACTCTGTGACTGGTGAGCACTTTTTCTCTCCCATTCAGGCATATAGGAAAGTAAAGCTAAAGCCATTCACATTCTAACATTGTTTCCCCCCGTTTGAAAAGACTGCCTGAAATTTCAGGCTGTTGTGGTGGGATGGAGTTTTGGCCTGCCTGGTGATATCACCAGGCGGTAAATTTGTTCAGACTAATAAGAAAGAGTTCCAAACCGCTCTGCCAATAAACTTTGCTAAGAAGCTGTTTTTGTTTCTTTTTTACTATTTTAATTTAAAACAATCACAGTAAGGTACTTAATTGCTACCCAGAAATAATTTGATGTTATTTATGTTATGTTTAGTATTACATTATTGATTACTGCATTGTTGGGTTCAGAGCTTGTAAGAAAGGCATTTCACTGTACTTGCAGTGGTGGGAAAAGTACCCAATTGTCATACTTGAGTAGAAGTAAAGATGCCTTAATATAAAATGACTCAAGTGGAAGTCGCCCAGTAAAATACTATTTGAGTAAAAGTCTAAAAGTATTTGGTTTTACATATACTTAAGGATCAAATGTAATTGCTAAAATATACTTAAGTATCAAAATAATTTCAAATTCCTTTATATTAAGCAAACCACAAGGCACCATTTTCTTATTTTTTATTGATTTACGGATAGCCAGGGGCACACTCCCAACACTCAGACATCATTTACAAGTGAAGCATTTGTGTTTAGTGAGTCTGCCAGATCAGAGGCAGTAGGGATGACCAGGGATGTTCTCTTGATAAGTGTGTGAATTGCACCATTTTCCTGACCTGCTAAGCATTCAAAATGTAACTAGTACTTTTGGGCATCAGGGAAAATGTATGGAGTAAAAAGTAAATTATTTTCTATAGCAATGCAGTGAAGTAAAAGTTGTCCTAAATAGTAAAGAACAGATACTCAAAAAAAAAGACAAGTAGTACTTTAAAGTATTGTTACTTAAGTACAACTATGTACTTGGGCACGTAACATTAAAACTAGAAACTTGATATTGAGATAAAAATGAATGCATTGGACCTTTTTAAGGGCTGAAGACAGCTGATGCGATATATTCATGCATGGCGCTTGATTTCACAGCTAACGGCAATGACGGCAGTAAAAAACTGAGAGTGGAGGACAGGATGGAGAGTCCCCCGTCCCGGGTGCTCCACATCCGGAAGCTGCCCAGCGAGGTGTCTGAGACGGAGGTCATCGCCCTGGGCCTACCGTTCGGCAAGGTCACCAATATCCTCATGCTGAAGGGCAAAAATCAGGTGAGTTTTGTGGCGGAAATTGTCTTGGATATTTTTGTTTTATGCTGTTATTGTAGTGCCATGATTAGGGCCAGGAGTTTGTCCTGACCATGTAAAGCAGGGGATAGGCAACTAGGGAGCGGATGGTCGGGGGGCGGAACATAATTATAATTTGTACACTGCAAATTGACCAACTAAGCACAAAAATATATTATTTTTTTAAATATACAGAACAAAAATATAAACGCAACATGTAAAGTGTTGGTCCCATGTTTCATGAGCTGAAATAAAAGATCCCAGTAATGTTCCATACGCACAACTTATTTCTCTCAAATTTTGTGCATACATTTGATTACATCCCTGTTGGTGAGCATTTCTCTTTGCCAAGATAATCCATCCACCTGACAGGTGTGGCATATCAAGAAGCTGATTAAATAGCATGATCATTATACAGGTGCACCTTGTGCTGGGGACAATAAAAGGCCACTCTAAAATGTGCAGTTTTCACACAACACAATGCCACAGATGTCTCAAGTTTTGAAGGAGCGTGCAATTAGCAAGCTGACTACAGGAATGTCCACCAGAGCTGTTGCCAGAGAATGTAATGTTCATTTCTCTACCATAAGCCGCCTCCGACGTCGTTTTAGAGAATTTGGCAGTACGTCCAACCGGCCTCACAACCGCAGACCACGTGTAACCACACCAGCCCAGGACCTCCACATCCAGCTTCTTCAACTGCGGGATCGTCTGAGACCAGCCACCCAGACAGCTGATGAAACTGAGGAGTATTTCTGTCTGTAATAAAGCTCTTTTGTGGGGAAAAACTAATTTTGACTCTGGGGAAGTAGATGAAGGGCTTCATTGACAAAATCTCGAAGTATCCCTTTAACTGTATCAGTCCCGAGACCCCAGCAAGAATCGTCTTTTCATTTATCTGACTTTCATTTATCTGCATGCCCAGCTCATATATTTAGCCTCACAATGAAGTGTTTTACCATTTTTATTTTCAGGACAACCAGGGCTACACAGTTGCATTCATGAGTTTTATTTACAAATAAATAAGCTGATTAAAAATGGATTGATATGAATGCTGTAAGTACAGAAATTGTTTGCTCACCAGGAAATGTATATCCAACTACTCAGTAACAACTGTGTGGAGTTTGTGACTGCAACTGTGAGCTTATTATAGACACTGTACTGTCCTAAGATTTCCTATGATCTATGTAGAAGAACCCCTTATCTTCTAACGACTCTTGTGTAGCTTGTGAGCGTCATATAGCAAAACATGTTACATGTTCGTGACTGTCTCAGCTTTTATAGATGGCTTTTAATAGTGTGTAGCTCAAACCATTGGGACTCAACAGATGTTTTTGTAAAAAGACCGGGATCCGCCCATGTCTCTCAAACCCCGCTCTAGCTCAGCCCCCGCTAATCACAGAGACTAATGGTTGGTATCTACAGATGCACTCTGTAGCTCAAACACACAGTTTTTAAAAGGGGTTAAAGACCTAAATGCTCAAGTGTTATGGTGGGACTCTTGTGTTAAACCTCACCTGAGCTTTCCCTGTTCAGGACAAATGGTCAGGAACTCCTGACCCTAAGCTTTTAAAAAAAAAACTATTTAATACTACAACAGAAGCAATTTGTCCTCTTGTCTTTCTTGAAATTGTCCTCTGTCCATGTGCAAGGCGTTCCTGGAGCTTGGTACAGAGGAGGCGGCCGTTACAATGGTGAACTACTATACGGCAGTGACACCTCAGGTCCGCAACGTCCCCGTGTTCATCCAGTTCTCCAACCACAAGGAGCTCAAGACAGACAGTGCTCTCAACCAGGTGAGATTCTGTCATTTCCCAGAAAATACACTTGTGCATGACTAGTATTGAGTCTCTAGTGTAGACACACGGAAATTTTGTACTAGGACAGCCTTGGCATTTGTGACTGCACTTTTATAGATTTACCGACTGCCAATCTTTCTCGCTCTTCCTCTCTTTCATACTTACCCACTCAGCGTGCACAAGCTGTCCTCCAGGCAGTGTCGGCGGTGCAGGACGGTGGCTCTCCCAACTCTGACACCAGTGCGCTGGATAGTGTTCTAGCCCAGGCCCCCAGCCCCGTGCTCAGGATAATCATTGACAACATGTTCTACCCCGTCACTCTGGACGTCCTCCAGCAGATCTTCTCCAAGTTTGGAACTGTCATGAAGATCATCACATTCACCAAGAACAACCAGTTCCAGGCCCTGCTCCAGTTCAGCGAACCAGTCAACGCCCAGCAAGCCAGACTGGTGAGCAGACAGACAAACCTGTAGTATATTCAGTTCTGAGTCAACTTACCTGTTAAAATTAAGGTTGATAACAATTTTGTTTGTCTACCGGTCTCTCTCTCCAGAATATCACGATGTTAAAAACAAAACGCTTACTAATGAAGTGTATTTCTTTCATCACATTCTCCAGTCCCTGGACGGCCAGAACATCTACAACTCATGCTGCACACTGCGGATCGACTTCTCCAAACTGGTCAACCTCAACGTCAAGTACAACAACGACAAGAGTCGCGACTACACCCGGCCCGAGCTACCCGCTGGCGACGGCCAGCCCACCCTAGACCCTGCCATGGCAGCCGCCCTCAACAAGGACTCCTCCCTGCTTGGTAAGACCTGCCTCCATCCGTCCAACCATCTTCACCCTTTTCTCTTCTGTCCCCCTCTGTTCTTTCTCTCTCTTCTTTCTCTCTCTTCTCTCTTTTTCCAGGCCTGTCAAGTCAGCTCTCTCTCCTCTGTATAAAAGTCAATACCACTAAGTGTTCTCTCTCAATGGGAGTCTGGGTATGTACTTATCTAATGCTTTGTAGAGGTAGTAGGTGGACAACAGAAATCCCTACCAGTCCAGTAATACACCACGACGTGACGAACAAAAGAAGGAATGAGAACAAATTGGAAAATGGGTCAATGTATATTATCAACAGTCTGTTCCAAGCCATAAAAGAGCCTTGTCAATTTGATAAAGCTTTTCTACATTATAACTACTCCCATCCCCCCCATGCCCAACGTGTATATTTAAGCCTTTTCCTGTACACTCCTTAGGTACCCCCTCTGGAATGGTAGCTCCCTACTCTAGCGGTGGAGGGTTTCAGTCTTCTCTCTCCTACTCGCAGGGCGGAGGTACCTATGCTTTCCATTATCTTTTCTTTTTTTCACTCTTAAGTCTTACCTGGTGTGTGTCTGTTGTCTAGGGGCAAAAGAGACATAAACATTTGGTGTTATAGCAACCACACCTGTCAGACCAAGGAAGAAGAAAAAAATGTCTACTAGCATGTTTGAGGAGTTTAAAATACACTGAACAAAAATATAATGCAACAATTTCAAAGATTTTACTGAGTTACAGTTCGTATAAGGAAATCTGTCAATTGAAATAAATTCATTAGACCCTAATCTATAGATTTCACATGACTGGGTATACAGATATGTATCTGTTGCTCACAGATGCCCACAAAAAAAAAAGTAGGGCGCGTGGATCAGAAAACCAGTCAGTATCTGGTGAGCCCACCATTTGCCTCATGCAGCGCGACACATCTCCTTTGCATAGATTGTGGAATGTTGTCCCACTCCTCTTCAATGGCTGTGCGAAGTTGCTGGATATTGGCGGGAACTGGAATACGCTGTCGTACATGTCGATCCAGAGAATCCCAAAAATGCTCAATGGGTGACATGTCTGGTGACATTTCAGCTTCCAGGAATTGTATACAGATCCTTGCGACGTGGGGCTGTGCATTATCATGCTGAAACATAAGGTGATGGCGGCGGATGAATGGCACAACGATGGGCCTCAGGATCTTGTCACAGTATCTCTGTGCATTCAAATTGCCATTGATAAAATGCAATTGTATTCATTGTCCGTAGCTTATGCCTGCCTGCCCATACCATAACCCCACCGCCACCATGAGGCACTCTGTTCACAGCGTTGTCAGCAAACTGCTCGCCCACACAACGCCATACACGCCATCTGCCAGGTACAGTTGAAACCAGGATTAATCTGTGAAGAGCACACTTATGCAGCGTGCCAGTGGCCATCGAAGGTGAGCATTTGACCACTGAAGTTGGTTATGACGCCGAACTGCAGTCAAGTCAAGACCCTGGTGAGGACGACGAGCACACAGATGAGCTTCCCTGAGATGGTTTGTGATAGTTTGTGCAGAAATTCTTTGATTGTGCTAAACCCACAGTATCATCAGCTGTCCGGGTGGCTGGTCTCAGACGATCCCGCAGTTGAAGAAGCTGGATGTGGAGGTCCTGGGCTGGCATGGTTACACGTGGTCTGCGGTTGTGAGGTCGGTTGGACGTACTGCCAAATTCTCTAAAACGACGTTGGAGGTGGCTTATGGTCGAGAAATAAACATTAAATTCTCTGGCAACAGCTCTGGTGGACATTCCTGCAGTCAGCTTGCTAATTGCACGCTCCTTCAAAACTTGAGACAACTGTGGCATTGTGTTGTGTGAAAACTGCACATTTTAGAGTGGCCTTTTATTGTCCCAGCACAAGGTGCACCTGTGTAATGATCATGCTCTTTAATCAGCTTCTTGATATGCCACACCTTTCAGGTGAATGGATTATCTTGGCAAAGGAGAAATGCTCACTAACAGGGATGTAAACAAATTTGTGCACAATTTGAGACATATGTATTTTGTGCGTCTGGACATTTTCTGGGATCTTTTCAGCTCATGACACATGGGACCAACACTTTGACGTTGCGTTTTTTAAAAATATTTTTGTTCAGTGTATGATACAGTTGCTTAAGAATGACCAAGGATGTCGTCATGAAAGGACTTAGAACATGTGGAATAATGAAAGGTTAGCTTTAGTTGACTAACCTTTCCTGTGTCTTGAATAGCTTTTGACAAATATTTTTTTGTTTTTGTTGTGGAAAATGCATGTGTGCATCCCTTTGTGTGTGCGTGAGCATGTGTGTCCCTGTGTGAGTGCACGTGCTCCTGTGTGTATGCGTGTCCGACCCATTATGTAAATGTTTGTGGGCATGGCATGCACACTAGCACAGCGTTTACCAAACTAGGGCTTGCGACCCCACGTGGGGTTGCCTGGTTTGAAAATGGAGTCGTGAGAGAAACTCTACAAAAAAAAAAGTGCTTGATTCATAGAACCTCAGGATGTCAGTAACCTCTGGTACTAGATGCGGTTGTAATAAACAGAGCGGTGCCTGTTTTCCTCCTACAAATGTGGCTCTATCTTTTGAACGGTTTAATACTATGACCCCATCACTGAAAGATAAGACTCTCAGGAACACATGCATGTCTTCGGTTTTCCTTTACAATGCCCACAAGCTGGTCAGGAACATTAAAACAAAGGGGATACGACCAGGCACTAAATCAGACTGGGGGATTTTTCCCTACACAGAAGATCATACTCATTATTGCCTGATGATCTTCTAACTGTCCCAATATCTTTCTGATGCGTTTCAGTCACTTCAACATTTACATTTTAGTAATTTAGCAGACGCTCTTATCCAGAGCGACTTACTTAGTGCATACATTTTTTTTTCTTCCAAACCATACTTCCATCAGATTGACATTTTTAAAAAGCCCAAATAAAAAAAAAAGTTAACATTGGCTGTTGATTACATGAGTTTTTATTTTTATTTTTTTAATACGTGGTGGGGTTGTGAAAAATGTTTATCAAAATGGGGTTTCAGGCTAAAAAAGTTTGGGAACCCCTGCTGTAGCACATGGCTGTGTGGTGTGCTTTGCCTGTGCTTGCTGTCTGTCTCCCCATTACCATGTTAACGTGCCTGGCTCTCTGGCCATTCCTCCAGGAGCCATGAGTCCTCTGAGTGCTGCGGCTGCAGCGGCGGCAGCTGCAGGGAGGGTGGCGCTCTCCGGACACTCTGGCTGCAGCGGCGTGCTCCTGGTCAGCAACCTCAACGAAGAGGTCAGTAACGTCCCCCAGACCTCCCCCTTTCTCTTTGCTCTCCTCCTATAGTACACAGATCTCACTTGGATCTCATGCCTCTCTGACTTTGTCTTGTACATCATTGTTCATTGATTATGACATGGACTTTGAGCAGACATTTATTATAGTTGGTATGACTGGTGTTATTTCATGAGTGGAAGGGCTCAGAATTTTTTGGGAAAATATCCCCATCTATACAATTTGGCTATTTAGTCCAACCTTACATTTCGTTGCACAAGTACTTGCACAATACTTGAATGGAATTATCTATTATACTTCTTGATCAGTACACAGATCTGAAGTTATACACTGCTCAAAAAAATAAAGGGAACACTCAAATAACACATCCTAGATCTGAATGAATGAAATAATCTTATTAAATACTTTTTTCTTTACATAGTTGAATGTGCTGACAACAAAATCACACAAAAATTATCAATTGAAATCAAATTTATCAACCCATGGAGGTCTGGATTTGGAGTCACACTCAAAATTAAAGTGGAAAACCACACTACAGGCTGATCCAACTTTGATGTAATGTCCTTAAAACAAGTCAAAATGAGGCTCAGTAGTGTGTGTGGCCTCCACGTGCCTGTATGACCTCCCTACAACGCCTGGGCATGCTCCTGATGAGGTGGCAGATGGTCTCCTGAGGGATCTCCTCCCAGACCTGGACTAAAGCATCCGCCAACTCCTGGACAGTCTGTGGTGCAACGTGGCGTTGGTGGATGGAGCGAGACATGATGTCCCAGATGTGCTCAATTGGATTCAGGTCTGGGGAACGGGCGGTCCATAGCATCAATGCCTTCCTCTTGCAGGAACTGCTGACACACTCCAGCCACATGAGGTCTAGCATTGTCTTGCATTAGGAGGAACCCAGGGCCAACCGCACCAGCATATGGTCTCACAAGTGGTCTGAGGATCTCATCTCGGTACCTAATGGCAGTCAGGCTACCTCTGGCGAGCACATGGAGGGCTGAGCGGCCCCCCAAAGAAATGCCACCCCACACCATGACTGACCCACCTCCAAACCGGTCATGCTGGAGGATGTTGCAGGCAGCAGAACATTCTCCACGGCGTCTCCAGACTCTGTCACATGTGCTCAGTGTGAACCTGCTTTCATCTGTGAAGAGCACAGGGCGCCAGTGGCGAATTTGCCAATCTTGGTGTTCTCTGGCAAATGCCAAACGTCCTGCATGGTGTTGGGCTGTAAGCACAACCCCCACCTGTGGACGTCGGGCCCTCATACCACCCTCATGGAGTCTGTTTCTGACCGTTTGAGCAGACACATGCACATTTGTGGCCTGCTGGAGGTCATTTTGCAGGGCTCTGGCAGTGCTCCTCCTGCTCCTCCTTGCACAAAGGCGGAGGTAGCGGTCCTGCTGCTGGGTTGTTGCCCTCCTACGGCCTCCTCCATGTCTCCTGATGTACTGGCCTGTCTCCTGGTAGCGCCTCCATGCTCTGGACACTACGCTGACAGACACAGCAAACCTTCTTGCCACAGCTCGCATTGATGTGCCATCCTGGATGAGCTGCACTACCTGAGCCACTTGTGTGGGTTGTAGACTCCGTCTCATGCTACCACTAGAGTGAAAGCACCGCCAGCATTCAAAAGTGACCAAAACATCAGCCAGGAAGCATAAGAACTGAGAAGTGGTCTGTGGTCACCACCTGCAGAACCACTCCTTCATTGGGGGTGTCTTGCTAATTGCCTATAATTTCCACCTGTTGTCTATTCCATTTGCACAACAGCATGTGAAATATATTGTCAATCAGTGTTGCTTCCTAAGTGGACAGTTTGATTTCACAGAAGTGTGATTGACTTGGAGTTACATTGTGTTGTTTAAGTGTTCCCTTTATTTTTTTGAGCAGTGTATTTTATAAGATGGCTACAACTTAAACGACTACTATATTCAGTTTTGCTCAGTATTCCTTGACTGTTATTCTATAAAGCTCTGCTGCACACAACCTCTAGTTTAGCCCTTAGAAACCCTGACCCAGTTTTCCTTGCATAACATTTTTGAAAAGTGATTAGGACTGCCAAAGGAGACCCCTAATAACATATTTCTGAAAGTCTAATTGATGTGATCTTGCCATGCAAACCACACATTTGCGTAGATTTTTTGTATCACTTAATTCCCTGCGTAAAGACATTGACATAGACAGGTTAGCTGACAACAAATAAACGTCACAAACAATGCGCAAGCTTCAATTGGGCAGAAGTCTGTGTGTTGTGATTCTGGAGGGCCAGATAGTTAGCAACAATGGCAAGAAGTGGGGAATCATACAGTGGGGAGAACAAGTATTTGATACACTGCCGATTTTGCAGGTTTTCCTACTTACAAAGCATGTAGAGGTCTGTAATTTTTATCATAGGTACACTTCAACTGTGAGAGACGGAATCTAAAACAAAAATCCAGAAAATCACATTGTATGATTTTTAAGTAATTAATTTGCATTTTATTGCATGACATAAGTATTTGATACATCAGAAAAGCAGAACTTAATATTTGGTACAGAAACCTTTGTTTGCAATTACAGAGATCATACGTTTCCTGTAGGTCTTGACCAGGTTTGCACACACTGCAGTAGGGATTTTGACCCACTCCTCCATACAGACCTTCTCCAGATCCTTCAGGTTTCGGGGCTGTCGCTGGGCAAGAAGGACTTTCAGCTCCCTCCAAAGATTTTCTATTGGATTCAGGTCTGGAGACTGGCTAGGCCACTCCAGGACCTTGAGATGCTTCTTACGGAGCCACTCCTTAGTTGCCCTGGCTGTGTGTTTTGGGTCGTTGTCATGCTGGAAGACCCAGCCACGACCCATCTTCAATGCTCTTACTGAGGGAAGGAGGTTGTTGGCCAAGATCTTGTGATACATGGCCCCATCCATCCTCCCCTCAATACGGTGCAGTCATCCTGTCCCCTTTGCAGAAAAGCATCCCCAAAGAATGATGTTTCCACCTCCATGCTTCACGGTTGGGATGGTGTTCTTGGGGTTGTACTCATCCTTCTTCTTCTCCAAAACATGGCGAGTGGAGTTTAGAACAAAAAGCTCTATTTTTGTCTCATCAGACCACATGACCTTCTCCCATTCCTCCTCTGGATCATCCAGATGGTCATTGGCAAACTTCAGACGGGCCTGGACATGCGCTGGCTTGAGCAGGGGGACCTTGTGTGCGCTGCAGGATTTTAATCCATGACGGCGTAGTGTGTTACTAATGGTTTTCTTTGAGACTGTGGTCCCAGCTCTCTTCAGGTCATTGACCAGGTCCTGCCGTGTAGTTCTGGGCTGATCCCTCACCTTCCTCATGATCATTGATGCCCCACGAGGTGAGATCTTGCATGGAGCCCCAGACCGAGGGTGATTGACCGTCATCTTGAACTCATCCATTTTCTAATAATTGCACCAACAGTTGTTGCCTTCTCACCAAGCTTCTTGCCTATTGTCCTGTAGCCCATCCCAGCCTTGTGCAGGTCTCCAATTTTATCCCTGATGTCCTTACACAGCTCTCTGGTCTTGGCCATTGTGGAGAGGTTGGAGTCTGTTTGATTGAGTGTGGGGACAGGTGTCTTTTATACAGGTGCAGTTAATACAGGTAATGAGTGGTGAACAGGAGGGCTTCTTAAAGAAAAACTAACAGGTCTGTGAGAGCCGGAATTCTTACTGGTTGGTAGGTGATCAAATACTTATGTCATGCAATAAAATGCTAATTATTTACTTAAAAATCATACAATGTGATTTTCTGAATTTTTGTTTTAGATTCCGTCTCTCACAGTTGAAGTGTACCTATGATAAAAATTACAGACCTCTACATGCTTTGTAAGTAGGAAAACCTGCAAAATCGGCAGTGTATTAAATACTTGTTCTCCCCACTGTAAGTGGCTTGTTTCAGCTAGTTTTATCTTGTTCTTGATAGCACATGTCACGTCTATGCAAAAATTCGCTAGTTAACCAACAACTGTAACAATGTATTTGAGACAAGTGCTCATGTGCAAATGTATTTGTTTTCAATAAACATTGGCGACAAATATAGTTTACATGTTGTCAACAATCTAAGCCAACCCAGTCTGTTTGGCCCCATAGTTGTGCACGCGTCGGTTTTGTTGCTAAACACCCAATCCGTCTATATAGACGGGTTAGTTGACAACGTCACGAAAATGATGCGCACGAATCGATGTGGCCAGAAGCCGCGTGTTATGATTCTGAATGGTCAGATGGCTAGAAACAATGACAAGAAGCAGCGACGCGGGGAATCGTAGGTGGCTCGTTGTAGATCTTGTTTTGACTGATTTCATGTCAATGCTAATATGGCAAAACATTTGCTAGCTAGCTAACCAACAAATGTAACAATGTATTTGAGACATTGGCCTATTGTGCTTATGTATTTATGCTTTCAATAAACATTTGGAGACAGTTAACATGTCAACAGTCTAAGCCAACCCTGTCTGTTTTGCCCCATAGTTTCACGTGTCGGTTTTGTTGCTAAACAACCAACCCGTCTATAAGACATCGGGCTTTAATTAAAGGGTTAGTCTGAGGGTGTAAGTACCAAGACAAGTGTTTTTCTGTCAAGCGTCATTCACCATGAGGTCATCCAAATGGTTGTACAGCCAGTCAAGAGATGTAATCATATCAGTGCTCATTTATGTGAATTTTATGTTAGCCTCAGTGCTTGCTTATGTTTTTGTCTCCATAGCCTAAGTCAACTGAACTGCAGTTACTTCTCAGGCTCTGTCTTAGTGAATGGAGGGGCTCAGTTCACACTCTCTCTTTCTCTATCTGCTATGCATTCTGTGCAAATTTTAACCGCTGTCTCCTAAACTCTCTTTCTCTCTTTCTCTCCCTCCCTCCCTCCCTTTCTCCCTCTTTCATGTCAAGTGATAGTCCTTCCTAACTCTCGTTCTTTTCTTTCAAGCCCCCCCGTTCACTCCTCTCTCCCAATGCCTTTCTCTAAGCTATGTCAAGTTGGTATGAACTGTGGGGGCTACACCAACCACCCCCACCTCAAATTTTCTCTCACCCACTGTCTCTCTATGCTATATCTATCTATAAATTCTCAACAGAAGTAATATTCTCTGATCGTTTCTCTCTCCAAACACTGGGTTTGTGGACTTGAACATGATATGTTCGGTTTATGCCATAACTCTGTAAGGTGGTTTTCATGTCTTTACCTGCATGGCCCAAACGCTCCTCCTTTGGAAATTAAGAGGGTAGCGCCCCTGCCACCAGCTTTAACCAATATTCCTGCATTTCATATGCTACCAAGCTTACTTACTTTACTAAAACCTTAACTTTTGAGACTCTTCTGCATGCCCAATCCATGCCCCCTCTCATCGCTATTGGTTACAAACTAGGCTTGGGTGTAAATGTACTCTGCTCCCCCTTTGTTCTCAGGTGTTGACATTTGGCACTATTATTTCCTTGTATGTTTGGGATTAAAGCCCCTCACAGCAAACCAAATCCGGCCATTTTCTGACCAAACTCCTGCATTTCCAATGTACTGACCTGTTTTAATTTTTGTCCCCCACCCCAACTCTTTGTTTTTTATTTACTCCGCATTGCTGCCCCCTCCCACCCCCCTTCCCCTCGTTCATTCCCACCCTTCCGTCTTGCCCCTTTTGTGTCCTGTCCGCACCCTCTTACTTCCCTCCCTCCTTTCCTTCCCCCTCCTTCCACACGTTCATGCTTTGTGCCTGAACAAAACTGTTCCTCCTCGGACCAACTTCCCCAATTAACTGCCTTGAACCCATGCTCCATGACCACCTCACCATTCTACGGGAAACCACCCTCCGTTATGGATGATCTGTCCATCTCCGCTCTACCTCCGACTCTTCTCTCTACCTGTCTTACGCTGCTTGCTCTTCTCTCCTTCTAAAGATGGTTACGCCCCAAAGTCTGTTTACCCTCTTCGGTATGTTATCGTTAGCACTCTACCTTTTCCGTTTTAGTTTTTTTTTTACTCCATGTTTTTTGTTTTCTCTTATCTCATTTGATTTATGGTTAGTATTTCCATAGTTGAGTTAACTGTTTCATGTTTTTCTTTCACGTTTTGTTTAGTACAGATTTTGGCCTTCAAGGCCTCTAGTCTCATCTCTCTCCATCTCACTCCATGAATAAATTACGTTAATGCATGGTTGATTATTCGGCATGTAGTCTTTTTTGTTCATTTTTTTTTCATTTCACAAAGCTTGTTTTTTGGAGGGATTTTATCAGCATATTCTCTCTATTCTCTCTCTCCCTCTCTCTGTTATAAGGTTATTGTTCTAAGACTCTTTGATTGGTTTAAATCATATGGATGATTGCTCCATCCTTTTTCACGTCTCATATTTAAACTCCCTAAAGCACTAACTTTGTCCTTCATGGTTCACTCCTCCCTCTCCTCTGCCTTTTGCTCTCTCCTCTCTTCCTCCTGCCGTCTGCCTATCGTTATAATTAAGGGGTGTACGGTGATGCTCAGCGCGTGAAGATCCTCTACAATAAGAAGGACAGTGCTCTCATCCAGATGTCGGACGGGAACCAAGCCCAGCTCGGTGAGTGGGTTCCCATTTGCCATTCATATGCGTAGGCAACGGTAGGCAGGCTTCAGCGCATCACACAACTTTGCAGTGAGCTGGAGGCAGTATGCATCTTGAAAACATACCTAATTGTTTGAAACCTGAATGTTTTACTTCATATAATGAGGCGTCTTACCTTGCTTGAAAGTAGCATAAAGCCAAAATCCCACCAAATCGTGGAGGCAATTATTTAATAAAGACTTCTATATGCCATTGAAACCAGTAGCCTATTTCTCATATTTTATTGGTTTTCAAATCACCTTTCTTTCATTGTCCAGTAGCCAAAGGCACAATCATTTTACATTTTAGTAATTTAGCAGACGCTCTTATCCAGAGCGACTTACAGTTAGTGAGTGCATACATTTTCATACTGGCCCCCCGTGGGAATCGAACCCACAACCCTGGCGTTGCAAGTGCCATGCTCTACCAACTGAGCTACACGGGGCCTCTATGACAATCGTAGTCATATTAGCAACCCATGCTAGTTGTTGCGTCTTTAGTTGTCCTATTATTTATAAAAAATGTTTATGGATATTTTAATCTGTCAGATGAAACCACTCCCATGTGCAGTGTGCTTTTGACAAGTGTTTTCCTGCTAATTGCATTATGGAATTAATATTTGCGCGGCGTAACCTAGTGCTTTGCGTGCATTGCTGCGCATATAATGTGAAGAAATAATAGTTTATCAACATTTTAAGCTAAATGTTCTGATCTGTTGCATCAACCTCAAAGCTTTTTAAAGTTGTTTTGGATGTATCCTAGGCCTACTGGTTGGATGAATTTCTATCTATCGTCCCTCAACTGTCCCAAAGTCTGTTTGGAATAGTCTTTCTTTCGCACAGAATGACAAGATTACTAATAGAATATGTCAACTTTTCTACTATGGAGGATAGTAGTTTGGCATAGGCTAGTGATTTTGCTGTTTGCGTTACTCGTCTTGTTAGCTGAGGAAAAGTAAATGTGGACAGTTATTCGATCATCAAAGTGCACTTCGGAATTTCGTAAGAAGGACGCACACCGTTGCATCTGTTAAAATGAATTGCCACAATCTAAACTTAATTTCTGTCATTCTGAGCAGCATGGGTGGACACCCCTAATCAGGTTACGCACCCAATGCATATTGATCCGATACATTTGTCATATTTCCGGTAAATTAAAAAAACTGCTGGTCAAATGTCCAGGGACACATTTTCCTGACGGAAACCCTGTTCCTAACTAATCACTTAATTAATCAATCAAGTACAAGGGAGGAGCGAAAACCTGCAAACACTCGGCCCTCTGTGGAATGTATTTTCCATTTTTTCGACGGTGTGCAGGTATCTTTCCTTTCCATTAGGCTGTTTTTGAAACCTACGCACTTGTGACTGCTCTTTTATAGTCCTTATTTCAAAATAATGTCAGACGGCCTGTCATTGTTTCTAATAAATGGCAGAGAAACATCTCCACATTAACCACATGCGAAACATGTCACTGTAACCATGTTTCCTATATGCCTTTCCTCAGCGATGAGCCACCTGAATGGCCAGAAGATGAATGGGAAAATAATCCGTGTGACGCTCTCCAAGCACCAGACGGTGCAGCTGCCCAGGGAAGGGCTGGATGACCAGGGCCTCACCAAGGACTTCACCAACTCCCCCCTGCACCGCTTCAAGAAGCCTGGCTCCAAGAACTTTCAGAACATCTTCCCTCCGTCCGCCACACTCCACCTCTCCAACGTCCCGTGAGTTTGTCTTATGGTTTGGCTTGATTCTGTCTAACATTTCATCAATGGTTGTTGTCTTCTAGCTAGGGCATTAGCATGGTCTATGAATGGAGTTCCTCAAGGCTCTGTTCTCGTACCACTACTGTTTTCATTATATGCTGCTTCTCTGGTAGACTACATGACCAAAAGTATGTGGACACCTGCTTGTCGAACATTTCATTCCAAAATCATGGGCATTAATATGGAGTTGGTCCCCCTTTGCTACTATAACAGCCTCCACTCTTCTGGGAAGGTGTTCCACAAGATGTTGAAACATTGCTGTGGGGACTTGCTTCGTTCAGCCATGAGCATTTGTGAGGTTGGACACTGATGTTGGGCGATTAGACCTGGCTCGCAGTTGGCGTTCCAATTCATCCCAAAGGTGTTCGATGCAGTTGAGGTCAGGGCTCTTTGCAGGCTAGTCAAGTTCTTCCACATTGATCTCGGCAAACCATTTCAGTATGGACCTCTCTTTGTGCACAGAGGTATTGTCATGCTGAAACAGGAAAGGGCCTTCCCCAAACTGTTGCCACAAAGTTGGAAGCACAGAATCGTCTAGAATGTCATTGTATGCTGTAATGTTAAGATTTCCCTTCACTGGAACTAAGGGGCCTAGCCCAAACCATGATAAACAGCCTCAGACCATTATTTCTCCTCCACTTTACAGTTGGCATTATGCAGGTAGCGTTCTCCTGGCATCCGCCAAACCCAGATTCGCCCGGCGGACTGCCGATGGTGAAGTGTGATTTATCACTCCAGAGAATGCTTTTCTAATGCTCCAGAGTCCAATGGCGGCAAGCTTTACACCACTCCAGCCGACGCTTGGCATTGCGCATGGTGATCTTAGGCTTGTGTGCGGCTGCTCGGCCTTGGAAAACCATTTCATGAAGCTCCCGACGAACAGTTCTTGTGCTGGCGTTGCTTCCAGAGGCAGTTTGGAACTCTGTAATGGGTGTTGCAAATGAGGACAGACTTGTGAGCTTGTGTGGCCTACCACTTCGCAGCTGAGCCGTTGTTGCTTCTAGACGTTTCCACTTCACAATAACAGCACTTAGTTTAGCAGGGCAGAAATTTGACGAACTGACTTGTTGGAAATGTGGAATCCTCTGAAGGTGCCACGTTGAAAGTCACTGAGCTCTTCAGTAAGGCCATTCTACTGCCATAGTTTGTCTATGTAGATTGCATGGCTTTGTGCTCAATTTTTATACACCTGTCAGCAACGGGTGTGGCTGAAATAGCCAAATCCACTAATTTGAAGGGGTGTCCAAATACTTTTGTGTATGTTATTTGGTTGCGAGAGTGATAGGACATTAGCATTGTCTTTTTTTGCACTACACTATTATTTAGTAGTTTTGCTACCATATTTAAAGGGATACTTTGAGATTTTGGCAATGAAGCCCTTTACTTGGTATCCACGAGTTAATCTGACTCTGGGGAAGTAGATAAAGGGCCTCATTGCCAAAATCCCTAAGTATCCCTTTAAGGGATTAGCTGTAGCGCTGGTTAGAAGTTCTTGCAATACAGTGTACCAGTGCATTGACATGGCTGAATGTGCTTGCGTTGAGTTTCGCTCACTGTTGATTTCGGATTCGACAGGGAGGACGTGACTGAGGAGGATCTGCGACTGCTGTTCTCTAACGCAGGTGGCACTGTGAAGGCCTTCAAGTTTTTCCAGTAAGACACCATCTTTAACTGCCTGTAACTTCTTATCAAATTTAGTCCCAAGCCTGGGCCTTCGAACACCATTTGGAATGTGCCGCAATCATCATCATCATTTTACCACCCGTGTGTGTGTGACTAGATCGTGGTTACCTGATCACATTGTTCTTCTCCCACAATGTAGAGGCCACAAAATGGCGCTGCTCCAGATGTCCACAGTCGAGGAGGCCATCCAGGCCTTGATGGACCTCCACAACTACGACATGGGCAGCAACCACCACCTGAAGGTCTCCTTCTCCAAGTCTACCATCTAGACAAACCACTCCATCACAACCCACCCTAACCCCCTCTCTGACAAACCTCAATATGTGTGGTGCTCACCTGTTCAGTCCCCTCGGGGAGACCACCATGACACTCACCTCCTAGGGAAAACATTTGAACCAGTCATTCCTTTTAGACGATATTGATTATCAAAAGCCCCCCACTAGATGTGACGGTAGTTTCTACGATGTCATTGTCGTGAAACATCACCCGTCTAGGTCCCCTTATCCCTCTCTATCTTAGTTTGTGTGGTTGGCAAGCTCCCTCTCTATGTTCATCATGAGAATGAATTGGATTCCCTCTTTTTCTTAGAATGATTCAGCGAAAATGTGCCTTACTCAGCAAAATATTATCATCGTTTTGCCTCCTTACATTTCTACAAGTGATCGAGGTCTAGGCACATTCTGTTTGGTTGTGGTTTCTGTTTTGTTTTCCCCTCCCCTTTTTTACATGACTTGATGTTCACCCATTTGAAATGTAGATTTAATAGTTTTGATTTTGCGCTTTGTTTTTCATAATGTTGATGATTAACCTGATTAGCAGCCTTAGATAAGGAAGCCCATCAGTTGGTTGGGTTGTTTTATCCCAAACAACTCAAGGCAAGGCCAGTTTTCCCGGGTTGAGAATGATTACTGTAAAGGCTGTTGACACCATTGTACACTTCACCTGCTAAGGACGACTGCTTAGATTTTCCCTTACTGACTGTAAATGCTGTCTAGATGTTTTTCAAACCTTACTTGCGTATGTCATTGTTCCTCTTTTTGGTCTTTTATTTTATTTTTTAGTTTGATTGAAAATGGCAGTGAATCTTTTTGAGCATGTACTGATGGGTCATGGTAGTAGTGAAGACATGTTGCTATTGCATGCGCCCAACATCCAGATGGGCAATGTGGTCACTGGTCATAGTGAAGTATGATTGTACATGAGGACGGACTACCTGTTGGGACCAAAGTAAATGTGCCTTTAGTCCTACTTTACGATTTAATTTAACATTTTCTTTACTAAAACAAATGTGGATTATATGTTTGAGAGGGGGAACAATACAAATCAAAGTCGAACCCTCACAGAATGTTTCTCCTTGATTTCAACAATCTTCTGTGCTGTTTTTGGTCAATAATTACTTACACTACACCTTCAGTTGAGAGAGAGAGGGGAAAAAAAGATTTGCAATGTGTGGGGAAAAGTTATGAATATTTTCTACATGGATTGAGTTTTTACATCTCAATTGTAATAATCAATATAGTTTGGAAAAGGCACGATTAAAAGCTCATTTTCTACCAAGTGAGTCCATGTTTGATGGTTGCTGCTGTGTGTACCTACTCTGATTTGACATCTGTAGCATGCTCAATAAACTCTCCTGTAGCTCTATTCACCCTCTTCTGTCTCTATGCTCGCGCTTTCTTTCTCCTCTACACCTCACTCTTACTGTTCTGATTTTCTCTGCCCAGGGTGGGAAATCAACATTTTGTTTGTGGAACAAAACTGCAAACCAGAAGATGATGAAATTACAACAGACTAAATTTGAATTTCCCACCCTGCTTTCCACTCTTGCTTTACTGAGATCTCTCTGACTCAACTGTCACTGTACATTCTCTAACTTCTACATTTTCAGCATGAACTCCTGTCTTTCGCTTGCTCTTTTATCTGAATCTCTTAAATTGATATTGTGTTACTATATTCACCTATTTTAATAGAACTGTACAGTCTTAGAACATGAGTCATACTGGGCCATACTCAACCGTACTGGATGGATCTCCATTCTCCAACATTGTAATCTAAAGATGTGCAAGAAAATGACCTTTTCTTGCCCAGGGACCCCCACCCAGGCAAACCGGCAACCCAGGGACCCCCATCATGCGTTAGCAAAATGTCTCTTATCAGGTGAATGATAATTGGAAGGAGAAGTAAACAACATTCTAAAATGAATAGATAGTTTATCATTATTTTGACCTCTCCACATAATTGGAAGCGGAAGTGTAAACTATTAGCTAGAACGGTAACTCCAAACCATAGAGATAAAGGGACTCGTTATAGCATCTCTGACAGCATGTGCAGCGCCATTGAGGCAATTTTGAAGTAGTCCATTTTCTTCACGATTGGCTGATCCCTCCTGTTGACCATGTTGGAAGTCCCGCCCAGTTGACTACATAAAAATGGTGGAAGACCTCAATGGTGCTGCCCGTGCTAGTACAGCCTTTTGGCCACTAGAGGCCTCATTCGCAATGCTCCAAGCACATTTTTGCTAACAGGAGCTGTTTAGCTGGTTGATCCTTAAGTCTATTCTAAGTAACATAATTGAAAAAAATCCCCATCAAAATCCGTAAGTTTAAACTAGAGATATGTTTTGTTTTTTATGGGCCTTTGTCAGCCTTCCACATCTGCGGTGGAAGGTGGCCGAGCTACAGCGGTGTTTGTCAGACCATGAGACATCCTGAAAATCAGACTTCTCACAAAAACGTCTGTAGCGTCCGAACGGTTTGGCTAAACTAATATGAGCACTCAATGGAAAGACAATGGTGTTCTCCGTTTTGCACTACGACCTCCACAAGCCCTTGGAACTTGTCTGAAGGTAACCCATACAAATGAATGGAAGTATGGCAGTAGTTTTGTGGCAACAAAAATAAGGAGGGAAATATGTATCCAAAAAAGCATACATATTTCCTGAGCTTTCTTATATCTCCTTCAAAATCTTATTCCGTATGATACATTTTTTTGACTGTCTTTTGCCATTTATGAATGTGTTATTCAATCAGTTTCTATGGGCTGTAGTAGTAAAGCCTATAACCCTATTCGGATGGGATTCATTTTACTGGGGGAGGTCGTGTAACATTATGTGCACGAGCACAAAACACCACATCCTTAATTTTAGTCCCTTGCGAGTCTGCCATGTCATGGGAGAGTAACAATTCCAGCCAGAATAACCTGTTTCTTGGCAAACTAAGGTCCTCTGATAATACTTACCGTGTACGAATCGACATCCCTGTGTTTTGAGGAGTATTACAGTGTTTAACACCAATTCAGTGGCCTTGTGGTTACAGTGTCCGCCCTGAGATTGGAAGGTTTGTGTACGATCCCCGGCCGAGTCATACCGAAGACAAAAAATGAGACCCAATGTGTCTCTGCTTGGCACTCAGCATTAAGGAGATACTGTAGATTGGGGGTACGGCCCTTCAATAGATTAGCATCCTGTCCAGGGGGTGTACTTGTACATCAAGCTGCCTCTTGCTACAGAAATATGTTTTACAGCTGCACCATTGAGAGCATCTTGACTGGCTGCATCACTGCTTGGTATGGCAACTGCTTGGCATCCGACTGCAAGGCGCTACAGAGGGTAGTGCGTATGGTACAGTACATCATTTGGGCTGAGCTCCCTGCCATCCAGGACCTCTATACCAGGTGGTGTCAGAGGAAGGACTTCACATTTTTTCAAGACTCCAGCCACCCAAGTCATTGACTGTCCTCTCTGCTACCGCGCGGTACCAATGAACCAAGTCTGGAACCAACAGGACCCTGAATAGCTTCTACACCCAAGCCATAAGACTGCTAAATATTTAACCAAATAGCTACCCGGACTATCTGCATTGACCTCCCCTTTGCACTAACTCTTTTGACTCATCAAATACGCTGCAGCTACTGCTTATTATCTATCCTGTTGCCTAGTCACTTTCCCCCTACCCATATGTACATATCTACTCAATTACCTTGTACCCCTGCACATCGAATCGGTACTGGTACCCCGTGTATTTAGCCAAGTTATCGTTGCTCATTATGTATTTATTCCTCAAGTTATCTTTCTATTATTTTTCTCTCTGCATTGTTGGGAAGGGCCCGTAACTAAGCACTGTTAGTCTACACCTGTTGTTTACGAAGCATGTGACAAATACATTTGATTTGATTTGAGATAGGCTCCTGCTACTATAAGCCATTTTGGGTGGCTTCTGCAAGTCTACTTACATCATTTAACAGGTGCTGCTCACAGTTTGGGTAAGAACATGGGAACAAATTGATCACTCAAAAAGATGTCACAAAAAACTACGTGCTATGCATGCAGCCTGCAGATTAATGATCTGTTCTGTCATATAACAACTTTCCCAGTGCCTATTTCTCTTTTAAAAGATTAAGCTGATGATATTGTGGCAATGAATTGATAAATTGCCAAATACATCAGTTAATTAAATGTCTGCATACAGTTCATGGTTCTTATTGATCTTATTTGGACTTTCTCAGAATCTTCATGTCTAGAATGCCTCCAGGCTTCCGTCATAACGGTCAATTTTGAATGAGAAAAAAATCAATAATTACAGGGGTCAGTTTGGAAAAACTAGTCCCGTCCGAATTGTCCTCTGGGAAAAACAGATGAGCTGTGGTAATAATTACATAACCGGCGTTCTTTAGTAATACAAGTCCCACGTAATCGAACCCACAATTGCTGATGCTCCAGATACTCAACTAGTCTCAAGAAGGCCAGTTTTGTTGCTTCTTTAATCAGCACAACAGTTTTCAGCTGTGCTAACATAATTGCAAAAGGGTTTTCTAATGATCAATTAGCCTTTTAAAATGATAAACTTGGATAGCAAACACAACGTGCCATTGGAACACAGGACTGATGGTTGCTGATAATGGGCCTCTGTACGCCTATGTAGATATTCCATAAAAAATCAGCCATTTCCACCTACAATAGCCATTTACAACATTAACAATGTCTACACTGTATTTCTGATCAATTTGATGTTATTTTAATCGACAGAAATATTGCTTTTCTTTCGAAAACAAGGACATTTCTAAGTGACCCCAAACTTTTGAACGGTAGTGTATATATATATATATATATATATATATATATATACACTGTATATTTATTTTTACCCCCAATTTCATGATATCCAATTGGTAGTTACAGTCTTGTCCCATCGCTGCAATTCCCGTATAGACTCGGGAGAGGCGAAGGTCAAGAACCATGCGTCCTCCGAAAGACAACCCTGCCAAGCCGCACTGCTTCTTGACACACTGCTCACTTAACCCGGAAGCCAGCCGCACCAATGTGTCGGAGGAAACAGTATAACTGGCGACCGCAGTCAGCGTGCATTCGCCTGGCCCGCCACAAGGAGTCACTAGAGCGCGATGGGACAAGGACATCTCGGCCGGTCAAACCCTCACGTAACCCGGATGACGCTGGGCCAATTGTGCACCGCCTTATGGGTCTCCCGGTCGTGGCCGGCTGCGACACAGCCCGGGATCGAACCCGGGTCTGTAATGACGCCGCTAGCACCGCGATGCAGTGCCTTAGACCGCTGCGCGACTCGGGAGGCCTCTGGTAACCAGTTTATAATAGTAATAAGGCACCTCAGGGATTTGTGGTATATGGCCAATATACCATGGCTAAGGGCTGTGTCCTAAGAACCATCCTTAGCCATGGTATATTGGCCATATACCACACCTCCTCGGGCCTTATTGCTTAATCATAGCAGTCAAAATTAGTTAAATCGACATCCATTGATGGAAAATGATCTGGCAAGTTTAATAAGAGCAAACTATATTTTCTCTTGCGACATATTCTTAAACTCACAATAATTATTATTTTGATGGAAAACCGTATTTTGCTTCTTAGCCTACGTCTTTACAAATTATGTCGATATTCCTTCTTAACGGTATGGAAAAAGGGTTTATTGGATAAATGTAACAACTCTTCTCTTAGGAAAAAATATTTGTGTTAGTTTTCCGACCTTGTGGGCGGGTTTTGAGAGGTCATTGGCCTAGAAATTGTAGCTATACCTGGCAACCCTGCTGCAGATTGACATTATTCCAACTATGGGGCAAACAGACAGGGTTCGCTTAGATTGTTGAAATGTAAACTATATTTCATCTCCAATGTTTATTGAAAACATAATTAAAGTTGCCCAATGAGCACTTGTTGTCTCTCAAATACATCGTTACAGTTGTTGGTTAGCTAGCTAGCGAATTTTAGCTATATTAGCATAGACGTGACATCCGTCAAAACACCTCAAAACAAGACATGGTATCAAGAACAAGACAAAATTAACTGAAATGAGCCACCTACGATTCCCCACATGGCAGCTTCTTGTCATTGTTGCTAGCTAGCTATCTGGCCATCCAGAATCACAACACACAGCCTTCTGTCCCATAGAAGTGTGCGCATCGTTTTCGTGACATTCTCAATCACAGCCAACCCGTCTATTCTGGGAGATGGAGAAAATAAATACTGTTGTTTACAGTAATTTATTTGTTGTTGTAATATCCCAAAGAGACATGACAGTTTCACCAATGAAGTATTCTAGATTTAAAGTAGCCTCTGGTGTGGCCTCTTGAAAAAATAACAAAAACAGCTAAGTGCTGTTGCTATGTCCGACGGCAGATCTAATAAATGTAATTTGGGCGCCATAGGGCCAATGTGTACCTTACCAATTTCACAATATCAAGGTAATTTCCAAAAAGATTGTAGAACATTTATCTAAGACAAAGATGTTCATGGCACCATCTTGACTTGGGGAAATTGCTGGCTGTTTCAATAGTT